CGCCGGCATACCAGGTTCTAGTCCCGGTCGGGGCGCCGGAGTCTGTCCCGGTTGCCCCTCTTCCAGGACAGCTCTCTGCTGTGGCCAGGGAGTGCAGTGGAGGATGGCCCAAGTACTTGGGCCCTGCACCCCATGGGAGACCAGGACAAGTACCTGGCTCCTGCCATTGGATCAGCGCGGTGCACCGGCCGCAGTGCGCCAGCTGTGGCGGCCATTGGAGGGTGAACCAACGGCAAAGGAAGACCTTTCTCTCTGTCTCTCTCACTATCCACTCTCTGCCTGTCAAAAAAAAAAAAAAAAAAAAAGTAAAAGAGGGATTTGAAAAAAAAAAAGAAATAAGGAACAAAGATCATGTACACTTGTGTTAATTTTCTTTTTCCTTTACACCTGATGTATGTTATGTGTTATTTCACATACATCTAGCTAAAGCTAGACTATGTCACCAATGTAAACAGTAAATCAAGATCCAGATGAATGGGAAAAGCCCAAAGAAATAATGTCATATGTCAGAAGACATATGAAGACATTTGGGAGAGTCTCAAAATTATAATCCTACACATCTAGTATTGGAACACTTGGCTTTCTTTTTTCTGTATCTTTGGTGCTAGGATCCTAAATTCAATTTCCTGATCATAAACATTTGCTACCTAACATGGGGAAGGAATGAGTGCATCAGAATATCAGTGACACTATATACTGAGGCCGCCATAGTGGCACAGTGGGTTGGACTCCCACTTAGAACACCCACTTCTTATACTGGAGTGCTGTTTTGAGTCCCAGCTGCTCCACTTCCAATCCAGCTTCCTGCTAACATGCCTGGAAGGCAGCAGATGATGACCCCAGGTGCCTGTCACTCATATGGGAGACCCAAGTAGAACTTCAAGCTCCTGGCTTCAGCCTGGCCCAGTCTGGTTGCTGCAGACCTTTGGGAAGTGAACCTAGCATATGTGAGATCAAATAATCTCTCTCCCTTCCCTACCCCTTCTGTCACTCTTTCAAATAAATAAAATAAATCTTTAAATAATAATAATATATACATGACTACTGTTCCAAACTCCCCAACTCTAAGGTATATGCTATACTGAAAGATGGAGCTAACATATTTCAGTTTAGTTACAAGTTTCTCAGCACTACTTACCTACAGTAGAGGTAGTATCCCTAAGGAGCAGTTTTAAAAAGACCTCTCAGACTCTTATGCCTTGAACCCTGAGAATCCATAACTATGAAAGATAGCTCAAGAAAAGGAGTGGAGATTTGGCTGAATGACTGACTTTCTGCTCTTCCATTTTTACCACTTACATCAATACTGAATATCTGAGGGGACAGCATTGTGGTGCAGGGATTAAGTCACCACTTGTGATTTTAGTACTGTGGGGAGCAACTCGGACTATACTGTTACTGGAATTAAGACTTATTCTATGCATCTGCTCTCCCACAATGTGGCGCTGGGAGAGGAGCGAACAGCTTCTACCCAGCTGCCTCTCACCAACTTGACAAGCTGCAGGAGCCGCTCCTGATTGGAGGAGAGCGGCGCGCTCGGCATGTGGGTAGCAGAGTTGGGATTAGTGGAAGAGGACTATAAAGGAGGAGAGAGACAACATGCACCAGGAACATCTAAGGGGAACATCTATCTGAAGGAACACCTGTGCAGCCCCCGAGAGAGCTGGCCGGCGGTGTGCCGCTCCCCTGCAGAAGTGGGGAAAGTGGCTAGGGGGAACCGCCCTTCCACGGAGGTGGAAGGGACGGTAGCCAACCGGGGGAAGAACCAGCAGCAAACCCGGGGAGGGCCGAGCAGACAAAAGAACAGTGCAGGGTCCTGTGTCGTTCCTCCACGAAGAGGGGGAGCGACATACTGGTGCCGTGACTCGGATATGAAGCCTAGGCAGGGTTTAGTGTCGTTCCTCCACGAAGACGGGGAGCGACAAGTACTCCATATTTGTGTGTCAGTTCCAGTCCGAGCTACACTGCTTCCAATCCAGCTTCGTGCTAATGTGCTTGGAAGGCAAAAGTACTTGTGTGCCTGCCACCCACGTAGGGCAGCAGGATGGAATTCCTGGCTCCTGGCTTTGCCCTGGTCCAGCTCTGGCCATTGCTGTGTGGCCATTTGGGGAGCAAACTAGCATATGGAAGATATTGCAGTCTTTCTCTCTCTCTGTGTCCCACTCCATCACTCGGCCTTTCAAACAAATAAATGTTTTTTAAAAATTACTAACGGGGATAGCACCGTGGCGCAATAGGCTAATCCTCCACTGGCGGCGCTGGCACCCCATATGGGCACCGGTTCAAGACCCAGCTGCTGCTCTTCCAATCCAGCTCTCTGCTGTGGCCTCAGAGAGCAGTAGAAGATAGCCCAAGTGCTTGGGCCCCTGCACTCCCATGGGAGACCAGGGAGAAGCTCCTGGCTCCTGCCTTCAGATCGGTGCAGCTCAGGTCGTTGAGGCCATTTGGGGAGTGAACCAATGAAACGAAGACCTTTCTCTCTTTCTCTCCCTCTCACTGTCTATAACTCTACTCTCAAATAAATCTTTTTAAAAAATTACTAACTGAAACAAACTACAGAAATAACCGAATACTAAGACTAAAATCAGAACTGTCTTCTAAAACTTTTTTTAAAAATATTTATTTATTTATTTGAAAGAGTTACACAGAGAGAGGTGAGGCAGAGTGAGAGAGAAGTCTTCCATCTGATGGTTCACTCCCCAATCAGCAGCAATGGCCGGAGCTGCGCCAATCTGAAGCCAGAAGCCAGGAGCCAGGAGCCTCCTCCTGGTCTCCCACGTGGGTGCAGGGGCCCAAGGTCTTGGGCCATCTTCCACTACTTTCCCAGTCCATAGCAGAGAGTTGGATCTGAAGAGGAGCAGCCAGGTCTCAAACCAGCACCCATGTGGGATGCCAGGGCTTCAGGCCAGGGCGTTAACCTGCTGTACCACAGCGCTAGCCCCAGTCTTCTACAACTCTCATTTTCAAATTTTGCTTTTATCAAAACATGGTTACTCGCACTGGACAAATACAAACATTATAAATGTGAAATTTAAAAAAAGTGTAAATAATGTTACTTTTATCAGTTTTACCCATTACAATAAAATGCAATTTTTATCTTCAAAACAAGATTAAGAATATAACTATATTGGTTATTCTCACATAGAAATGGAAGAGGTCTTATATGTGGAGAATTTTTAAGAACCCAATAATAGGCCAGCACTGTGGCATAGCAGGTGAAGCCACTGCCTACAGTGCCAAAATCCCATATGGGTTCGAGTCCCAGCTGCTCCGCTTCCGATCCAGCTCTCTGCTATGGCCTGGGAAAGCAGTAGAAGATGGCCCAGGTCCCGCACCCATGTGGGAGACCTAGGGGAGGCTCCTGGCTCCGGATCAATGCAGCTCCAGCCGTTGCAGCCAATTGGGGAGTAAACCAGCGGATGGAAGACCTCTCTCTTTCTCTCTCCCTCTCTCCCTCCTTCTCTCACTGTGTAACTCTTTCAAGTAAAATAAATCTTAAAAAAAAAATCAATAAATATTTTTGCTCTTCCCACCAAACAAAAGCCTGATTTTTCTCTCTTCCTCTTAGCTTTCACTTCACCAATTTTTCCCTTAAGTTTCCTAGTCCAGGCTATAAGCTCTTATTTTTCTTTTCTTTTTTTTTTTTATATGTTTTTCTTTTTTTCTTTTGACAGGCAGAGTGGACAATGAGAGAAGGAGACAGAGAGAAAGGTCTTCCTTTGCCGTTGGCTCACCCCCCAATGGCCGCTGAGGCTGGTGCATTGCAGTGATTCGAAGCCAGGAGCCAGGTGCTTCCTCCTGGTCTCCCATGCGGGTACAGGGCCCAAGGACCTGGGCCCTCCTCCACTGCCTTCCCGGGCCACAGCAGACAGCTGGACTGGAAGAGGAGCAACCAGGACAGAACCGGCGCCCCGACTGGGACTAGAACCCGGTGTGCCGGCGCCACAGGCGGAGGATTAGCCTATTGAGCCGCGGCGCCGGCCTAGTTCCACAATCTTGAAATCAGGCAACCTGAGTTCAAATCCTGGCTCTGCCACTTACACTTATGAAAACTTTGGTAAATTATTTAACATTACCATGCCTTGCTTTCTTCAAGAGTATAATGCAAATAGTAACAGCAACCACCCTATGAGGATGTAATAATGAACACTTGTATTAATGCATGTAAAGAACTCAACACAATATTTTACACATTGTACACATGCAGATTAGATATTGTAATTATTATTTACCTAGGAGTTTCTACATTATTTCAGTATGTTTATAGGCTATTGGTACAATAATCTTATACTTGAATATCTAATCACATAAATTTGTGACTCTTCTCTAAAATGTGGATTCAGCTGTATACCAGCATATTGAAAACTGTTAAGCTCATATTTTGGGATTTTGTTTGAAGATTCACTGATTTGTAAAGCAGGATGAAAGAGAGCGAAGGAGAGACAGGGAGAGAGACAGATCTTCCATTTGCTGGTTCACTTCATAAATGGCTGCAATAGCCAAGGCTGGGCCAGCCTGAAGCCAGGAGCCAGGAACTCCATCTAGGTCTCCCACATGGGTGGCAGGGGCCCAAGTACTTGGGCCATCTTCCAGTGCCTTCCAATGCACTTTACCAGGAAGCTGGATCAAAGGCAAAGCAGCAGGACTTGACCCAGCACTCTGATATGGAATGCCTTACACTGCAAGCAGCAGCTTCACCTGCTACACCACAATGAGGGCCTCTAAACTCTTATTTTGGCAGTACTTCTTTGCATTGTTTTTTGTGGCTGTTCCAGGGATAACAAATACCTGTATCTTCTCAACCAGCTAGCAGTCAAGATTACACTTCATGTAAAAAATATGGAATCTTGAAATGTACTGCCTCAAGTTTTTGCTATAATCATTGTATTAATATTTACATATACTACAAACCTCAAAATACAATGCTATAATTTGTACTTTAAATAATAATATACATTTTAAAGAAAGTGGGAGAAACAAATGTATTTCCCACATATTACCATTTCTGGTGCTCTTCATTCTTCCAAAGATCCAAGTTTCCATCTGGTATCATGTCCTTTCAGCCTGAAGAACTCTCTTCAGTATTTTTTGTAATGTAGGTCTGCTGGCAACAAAATCTCATTTTCATTTATGCAGTGTTATTCTCTTTCCAAGTATTGATTCCCCCTTCAATTTGTGCCTGCTGGTGGTCATTCTCCAGTGCCTTCAGAGCATTGTAGGTTTTTTGCATTTTGTCCAGAATTTATAATGGCCTTCTGCAGAAGGATTAGTTCAATATGAGCTACTCCATCGTTACTAGAATGGTTCATATTTTAAGATGCCAGGAAGTTTCAAATATTCACATATTATTCTTGGACATGTGACCATACGGCAAAAGATGTATTACAATACTTCAAAATGTTATGTTCACAGTTATCAATATTATTCCACTAATTGTCTATTAGGTTATAATTCTATAACATAAATTATTTCCGCATTGTTTCTATTTTTCCTATATATAATATGTGGACTTTACCTCTTTCTATGTAAACTTAATCCACCTGGAAATGCAATCATGTACTTGGTGGCTTCTTGACTGTTTTTTGTTTGTTTGCTTGTTTGTTTAATAAGCACTGAAATCATCTCCAGTTAGCATTAGCAGAAAAAAAAATTTATTGCAAGGAAAAATCAGGTAAATCATAGAGTCAATGAGAGCCTAGAGAACCAGACTCTAGAAGAAACCAAAAGAGGCTTGGCATGGGAAAAGTCCCAGGCCATTTACTCAGGTTCCAAATCCCTAGGATCCCAGTTTATACTCACCCTCACTTCCCACTCCTATATTTCTGGACTCTACTTTGTCTAACCTAGATAATCTAACATTGAACAATCCTACCTTAAGGCAGGACTATTTGACTGGCTCACAATATAACCACAAAGAGTAGACAAGTGGAGGCTACCTCATCATATTTGGTATTCCCCACAAATAAGAAGGGTATGCAAGGCCAGTGCCTTGGCGCAGTAGGTTAATACTCCGCCTGCAGTGTCAGCATCCCATATGGGCACCAGTTCTAGTCCCGGCTGCTCCTCTTCCAATCTAGCTCTCTGCTGTCCCCTAGGAAAGCAGTAGAAGATGGTCCAAGCACTTGGGTCCCTGTAGCTACATGGGAGACCAGGAAAAAGCACCTGGTTCCTGGCTTTCAATCAGTGCAGCTCTGGCCATTGCAGCCATTTGGGGATTGAACCAACGGAACGAAGACCTTCCTCTCTGTCTCTCCCTCTTACTGTCGGTAACTCTACCTCTTAAATAAATAAATAAAATCTTTAAAAAAAGAAGGGTATGCAGCTGTAAGTTAATTCTAATGTGCTATTACCATTTATAAAACGGTTATATAGCCGGTGCCATGGCTCACTAGGCTAATCCTCCGCCTTGTGGCGCTGGCATACCAGGTTCTAGTCCTGGTCAGGGCGCCGGATTCTGTCCGGTTGCCCCTCTTCCAGGCCAGCTCTCTGCTGTGGCCAGGGAGTGCAGTAGAGGATGGCGGATGGCCCAAGTACTTGGGCCCTGCACCCCATGGGAGACCAGGATAAGTACCTGGCTCCTGCCATCGGATCAGCGCGGTGCGCCGGCTGCAGCAACCATTGGAGGGTGAACCAACGGCAAAAGGAAGACCTTTGTCTGTCTCTCTCTCTCACTGTCCACTCTGCCTGTCAAAAAAAAAAATGGTTATATATAAAAGTTATTGGCAAGAGATCAAAAATCAGGACAAATAGCACAATATGAGAATTTTGCAAAAATAACATCTCATGCTTGTATCTTTCTTGGTTCAGGGCTTCTAATTATTTTGGAATTAAAAGTATATTCAACTTAAAATCAGATATAACAAAGCTGTCATTTATAAAACAAATAAGCCAAGGAGGAATTATTTCAGTAAGAAGAGGAGGATACTTACTTTTGAATAATATTCATTGCCAGGCTCCTTCAAATATATTGGCTCTTCCCATACAATTAAAATAAGATTAGATTTACAGAAAAACTCTATTTTCTTCTACTTCCTCAATCAGGACACAAGTTTTAACCTATTAACATTTGTATTTATAACATCACATTATTCACTTGCAAATTCATGTATCTGAAGTGCTTTCCCTCATAAAATTTACATCACTAAATTAAAATACTTGGGTAGACATAAGAACAATTCTCTCCAGCAGCTATTAAAATCAAGGTAACATAAAGTACCACAAATATCACTTTTGAAAAAGAAAGACTGTGAAAGACTAAAATCTAACAGGTATCTTGGCTGGCTTGTCCATTTATCTATCACTGACTAGGCTATTTTATAAACTGTCGAGAGATAACTTATAGAAAATTCAGAGTAATACAAATGATTCTTATACAGAGAAACACAAATTGTGTCCTATGGAATGTAACTGACTATTGTCCAATGGATAGTCATCAGTTTTGCTACTTTCACACTAGTTTCAGCATTTCTTATTTGGCTATAAATACGCAGTAATTTAAACAGCAATACCATAATATCACGAATTAATGAGCAAAATAAAGTCATAGACATGTTCATTTCAAACTTAGAATCACAATCATACTCCCTTTTAAAATGTATCCTTTAAAAACAGTCTAAATAGTAAAGGTTAAAATAGAAAGCTAAGGTGCTGGCACTGTGGCACAGTGGGTTAAAGCTCCAGCCTGTGGCACCAGCATCCCATATGGGTACTGGTTCGAGTCCTGGCTGCTCCACTTCCAATCCAGCTACCTGCTGATGTGCCTGGGAAGGCAGCAGAGGATAGCCCAGGTGGGAGACCTGGAGGAGGCTCATGGCTCCTGGCTTGTGTCTGGCCTAGCCCTAGTCATTGTGGCCATTTGGGGAATGAACCAGTGGATGGAAGACCTCTCTGTCTCTGTCGCTGTCTCTACTTCTTTCTCTGAAACTTTGCTTTTCAAATAAATAAAACAAATTTTTTAAAAAAATCTTTAAAAAATATAAGTATAGAGTGGCTACCAATAATTCTATACTACAACCTTGAAAAATATGGCAAAGGAATGTTGCCTAGAAGACAAATGCTATCACTAAAAAGATATGGGATTTGATTAATTCCTCTGTATTATGTAATATAAATAGCCTAAAAGTGTGTTGTTCTCTGCTGCAAACTTTCTCTCTTCTTCCCTCTCCCCCTTCCTCCCTTTTATATATGCACACTATACACTGTGTAGTATATAGCATACATACTGTACTATACTATATATGCTATAAAACTTACATACTGAACAGTACATATTTATATAACTATGTACAGAGTACACTACATTCAGCACAAGCATACACGCTTATGTGTATATGTATATACAGACAGCATAAAAAATGAAAACTACCCAAGTATTTAAATGAGTAACTGATGAGGGCAGTTGGTAGAATGATTAAGATGCCACCTAGGATGGCCCGCGCCGCGGCTCACTTGGCTAATCCTCTGCCTGCGGCGCCGGCACCCCAGGGTGCTAGTCCTGGTTGGGACGTCGGATCGGATTCTGTCCCGGTTGCTCCTCTTTCAGTCCAGCCGTCTGCTGTGGCCTGGGAAGGCAGTGGAGGATGGGCCAGGTCCTTGGGCCCTGCACCCGCATTAGAGACCAGGAGGAGGCACCTGGCTCCTGGCTTCGGATCAGCGCAGCGCGCCGGCCATAGCAGCCATTTGGGGAGTGAACCAACAGAAGGAAGACCTTTCTTTCTGTCTCTCTCTCTCTCACTGTTTAACTCTGCCTGTCAAAAAAAAAAAAACGCTACCTAGGAAACCTGCATCCTATATTATTACAGTGCCTGGTTGGAGTCACAGATGATCGATCCACTTCCAACCCAGTATCCCTAATTCATGTTGACAGGCAACAGATGATACCTCAACTATTTGGATCCTGTCACCCACATGGGAGACCAGACAGAGTTCTAGGCTCCTGACATCAACCTGGCCCAGCCCTAGCTACTGGGGGCATTTGGAGAGTAAATTAGCAGATGGGAGATCTCTCTCTGTCTCTCAGCCTTTTAAATAAAATGAAAATTAAATATAAAAAACTAATGAGTAATCATTTCTAACACATTAAAAATTAAAAAAAAAAACTATAAATGCTAGATTGACTCCTACATTTTAACTCATCACTTAGTTACTTGTATATTACAATGAGGAATACAATTTGTTAATTGGACATCAAGAATTTATTTTCTCTATAGCGGCACATAACTAAGTAATTTTATCTTTCAATTAGACATAGTATAGAGGACAAACCAAAGTGTTTTTCCTACTCTCATTCACCACTTAACACTTTCAATTAGTTAATTTATTTATTTCAAAGACAGAGAGAGGGAGGGAGAGACAGGGTGGGAGTCAGGGAGAGACAGCAATATCTTCCATCTACTGGTTCAGTTCCTGAAAGGCCACAAAGGCAAGGCTGGCCAGGACAAAGCCAGGAGCCTGGAATTCCATTCAGGTTCCCCACTTGAGTGGCAGGGGCCCAAGCACTCAGGCAATCTTACGCTGCTTTCCCAATTACATTAGCAGGAAGGTGAATAGGAAGTGGAACAGCTAGGAATCACAACAGTGCTCATACAGAATGCCAGAGTCAAAAGCAGCAGCTTATCCTGCTGTGCTATATCCCCAACTCCAACATACTTGCAATATTGCAATACCAGATGTGTGGGGGTTAATTCACACAAACAAAATCAATCCTCCAGTGTATACCAACTAGGGTGTCATTGCAATTTAATGAACTTCTGATACCATCTAAAGATAGCATTAGAACTCGTAGGTTAAGGGCTTGGTCCCTCAACCACTTTTCACACCAATCACAAGTCCCAGGTTATGACTTAGACTTCTGTAAAACTAGCTATAAATTGGAGTTCTCAGAAGTCTCTGCTCAGGTTCAATTAACTTGCTACAGCAGTTCACAGAACTCAAGGAAACACTTACATTTAACCCATTTAGTATAAAGGATATCACAAAGGATGCAGATGAAAACCCAAATGAAAGGCAGACTGAAAGAAGGCATGTGGAAAGCAGTATGGAGATTCTGTGCCCTCTGGTTGTGCCACCCCCAAGGTATATGCACATGTTCAGCCATCTAGAAGCTCTTTGAACCCTATCCTTTTGTGTTTTTAATGGATGCTCTATTAGGTAGGTTGGATTGATTACATCATTATCCATTGGTAATCAACTCAACCTTCAGTCCCTTTAAACTCTGAAACCTAAGGGGTGTGTCAAAGCTCCCACCTTCTAATCA